TACAACGCAGGGTTTCATTTGCTAGCCGAGTCCTTACGAAGGTGAATGTAATTATACAGTAATGGAGCAAGAAGCTTTAGCAATAGTATGGTCTTTAAAGCATTCCGAGACATTATTTACCAGTACCCTGTTCATGTCTTGACAGACCATGCGCCACTGTACCTTTATTCCCGAAACAAACAGCCTACTGGAAGGTTAGCCGATGGACCTTGACTATCCAAGAGTTCAATCCCACTTTTGAAACATTTACCCGCCAAATCGAATGGGAGTCGCAGATGCTTTATTGCGAACGTTAGTGTAGTTACTGCAGATCCTCCATTTACTGTCGAGGTGTCAAAAATGCCCAAAGAACAGATCCATGTGGTCTGGTGTGATTCGATTCCTGCTCCAGGAAGATCTTATTTTTACTGTGAAGCCACCAGCACCATTAGTGACTTTGTAATGAGCCAAGAATTACTGTATCGAAAAAGCCGAGTTGGGTACTCCCAAATAGAAGAGTGTACCAGTTAGTAATTCCACAGTCACTAGTGAATGTAGCTCTGCAGCTAGTTCATGATTGCACCAGGTTTGCCACCCTGGGATGGATCGTTCTGTGAAACAAGCCAGAATGAAATACTTTTGGCCAGTATGGCAACTGACATTTCGAGTAGTTAAGAACGTAGTTGTCCCGTATGCAACATAAAGGAAATGTCAATAGTCCTAATCCAATCCAAGTGCACCCAACCACTAGCGAACCCTGGGAAAGAGTTTTCCCTTGATTGTTAACCAATTTTAAATGTTCCCTCCAAGGCAACAAACATCTGTGTGTTATGGTGACCCTTTCACCCAGATATTGTGAGTTTTGTTCCTATTGCAGATAAGACTGCAGAGACAGTAGCTAAAGCATTTAAAGAATGCATTATCTGCAGGCATACCACCCCTAAGTCCTTAGTAACAGATAATGGAGGTGAATTCTGTAATGAGATTCTTGAAAATTTGTGTACTTTATACAAGATCTCTAAATCCAGCATTGTTCCTCATCATCCTGTCAGCAATGGGTTAGCCGAAAGAACCAATAAGAAAGTACTTGATGTCCTGAGAGCCACTATCAACCCCAATAGTGAAACTTGGGATGAAGTCAAAGCAGATGTCCAATGTGCCATAAATTCTGCTTACAATGCTTCCATAGGTGATACGCCACATTATGCATTGTATGGTGTACACAAGCGTTTACCCTATGAGTTGTTATATTCCACTCCGAAACCTAATTACAACCCTGATGATTTCGTAGCAACTCGTACCAGCATGGCTCCCACACCCATCCTGTACTCCACCAGAGCACTCCCACACCCATCCTGTACCCCACCAGAGCACTCCCACACCCATCCTGTACTCCACCAGAGCACTCCAACACCATCCTGTACTCCACCAGAGCACTCCAACACCCATCCTGTACTCCACCAGAGCACTCCAACACCCATCCTGTACTCCACCAGAGCACTCCAACACCCATCCTGTACTCCACCAGAGCACTCCAACACCCATCCTGTACTCCACCAGAGCACTCCCACACCCATCCTGTACTCCACCAGAGCACTCCCACACCCATCCTGTACTCCACCAGAGCACTCCCACACCCATCCTGTACTCCACCAGAGCACTCCCACACCCATCCTGTACTCCACCAGAGCACTCCCACACCCATCCTGTACTCCACCAGAGCACTCCCACACCATCTGTACTCCACCAGAGCACTCCCACACCCATCCTGTACTCCACCAGAGCACTCCCACACCCATCCTGTACTCCACCAGAGCATCCCAACACCCATCCTGTACTCCACCAGAGCACTCCAACACCCATCCTGTACTCCACCAGAGCATCCCAACACCCATCCTGTACTCCACAAGAGCATCCAAACACCCATCCTGTACTCCACCTGAGCACTCCAACACCCACCCTGTACTCCACCAGAGAACTCCCACACGCACCCTGTACTCCACCAGAGCACTCCCACACGCACCCTGTACTCCACCAGAGCACTCCCACACCCATCCTGTACTCCACCAGAGCACTCCCACACCCATCCTGTACTCCACCAGAGCACTCCCACACCCATCCTGTACTCCACCAGAGCACTCCCACACCCATCCTGTACTCCACCAGAGCACTCCCACACCCATCCTGTACTCCACCAGAGCACTCCCACACCCATCCTGTACTCAACCAGAGCATCCCAACACCCATCCTGTACTCAACCAGAGCATCCCAACACCCATCCTGTACTCCACCTGAGCACTCCCACACCCATCCTGTACTCCACCAGAGCACTCCCACACCCACCCTGTACTCCACCAGAGCACTCCCACACCCACCCTGTACTCCACCAGAGCACTCCCACACCCACCCTGTACTCCACCAGAGCACTCCCACACCCACCCTGTACTCCACCAGAGCACTCACCACACCCACCCTGTACTCCACCAGAGCACTCCCACACCCATCCTGTACTCCACCAGAGCACTCCCACACCCATCCTGTACTCCACCAGAGCACTCCCACACCCATCCTGTACTCCACCAGAGCACTCCCACACCCATCCTGTACTCCACCAGAGCACTCCCACACCCATCCTGTACTCTACCAGAGCACTCCCACCCCCATCCTGTACTCTACCAGAGCACTCCCACACCCATCCTGTACTCTACCAGAGCACTCCCACACCCATCCTGTACTCTACCAGAGCACTCCCACACCCATCCTGTACTCTACCAGAGCACTCCCACACCCATCCTGTACTCTACCGGAGCACTCCCACACCCATCCTGTACTCTAACCGGAGCACTCCCACACCCATCCTGTACTCTACCGGAGCACTCCCACACCCATCCTGTACTCTACCGGAGCACTCCCACACCCATCCTGTACTCTACCGGAGCACTCCCACACCCATCCTGTACTCTACCAGAGCACTCCCACAACCCATCCTGTACTCTACCAGAGCACTCCCACACCCATCCTGTACTCTACCAGAGCACTCCCACACCCATCCTGTACTCTACCAGAGCACTCCCACACCCATCCTGTACTCTACCAGAGCACTCCCACACCCATCCTGTACTCTACCAGAGCACTCCCACACCCATCCTGTACTCTACCAGAGCACTCCCACACCCATCCTGTACTCTACCAGAGCACTCCACACCCATCCTGTACTCTACCAGAGCACTCCCACACCCATCCTGTACTCTACCAGAGCACTCCCACACCCATCCTGTACTCTACCAGAGCACTCCCACACCCATCCTGTACTCTACCAGAGCACTCCCACACCCATCCTGTACTCTACCAGAGCACTCCCACACCCATCCTGTACTCTACCAGAGCACTCCCACACCCATCCTGTACTCTACCAGAGCACTCCCACACCCATCCTGTACTCTACCAGAGCACTCCCACACCATCCTGTACTCTACCAGAGCACTCCCACACCCATCCTGTACTCTACCAGACCACTCCCACACCCATCCTGTACTCTACCAGACCACTCCCACACCCATCCTGTACCCTGCCAGAGCACTCCCACACCCATCCTGTACTCTACCAGAGCATCCCAACACCCATCCTGTACTCTACCAGAGCACTCCCACACCCATCCTGTACTCTACCAGAGCACTCCCAACACCCATCCTGTACTCTACCAGAGCATCCCAACACCCATCCTGTACCCTACCAGAGCACTCCCACACCCATCCTGTACCCTACCAGAGCACTCCCACCCCCATCCTGTACCCTACCAGAGCACTCCCACCCCATCCTGTACCCTACCATAGCACTCCCACACCCCTCCTGTACCCTACCAGAGCACTCCCACACCCATCCTGTACCCTACCAGAGCACTCCCACACCCATCCTGTACCCTACCAGAGCACTCCCACACCCATCCTGTACCCTACCAGAGCACTCCCACCCCCATCCTGTACCCTACCATAGCACTCCCACACCCATCCTGTACTCTACCAGAGCACTCCCACACCCATCCTGTACTCTACCAGAGCACTCCCACACCCATCCTGTACTCTACCAGAGCACTCCCACACCCATCCTGTACTCTACCAGAGCACTCCCACACCCATCCTGTACCCTACCAGAGCACTCCCACACCCATCCTGTACCCTACCAGAGCACTCCCCACACCCATCCTGTACTCTACCAGAGCACTCCCACACCCATCCTGTACTTTACCAGAGCACTCCCACACCCATCCTGTACTTTACCAGAGCACTCCCACACCCATCCTGTACTCTACCAGAGCATCCCAACACCCATCCTGTACCCTACCAGAGCACTCCCACACCCATCCTGTACCCTACCAGAGCACTCCCACACCCATCCTGTACTTTACCAGAGCACTCCCACACCCATCCTGTACTTTACCAGAGCACTCCCACACCCATCCTGTACTCTACCAGAGCATCCTAACACCCATCCTGTACTCTACCAGAGCATCCCAACACCCATCCTGTACTTTACCAGAGCACTCCCACACCCATCCTGTACTCTACCAGAGCATCCCAACATCCATCCTGCACTCCACCAGAGCACTCCAACACCTTGTGTATTATTATTATAATCAAAAAAGAAGCGCTAAGCCACAAGGGCTATACAGCAACACCTTGTGTAGCCTTAAAATTATGTTAGAGAAGTACACGAGTGGGTGTAGGTTGGTGCGAGATGAACCTGCCTAGCATGGGCCAGTAGGCCTCCTCTAATGTTCTCATTTTAACGGGGAAGCGCTAAACCCGTAAATGTTGTATAGTGGCTGGGGTAGTGGGAGGTTGTCTGGCTGGACTTAATGATAAGGTTAAGCTAATTGCTTGGATCAAGAGCCAGTTATGAAGGAAGGTTGGCTGAAGGGTGAGTGGAAGGTGAAGAGGAACCTGAGCGGCATCACCTGACCAGGGACTTGTAACTCTGGTTCTTACTGATGTAGAGTGTAGTAGTGAGGTAAGAAGTCTCACCGTGTGTGGAGGAGGTGGTGTAGGTAGGTGAGATAGAGACAAGTGATGGCAGGTGTAGACGAGTGTGGCTGCTGCTGCTGCTGCTGCTCTTGCTGCTGTTACTGTCTGGCCGCAGCCGCTCCTCTCTTACTCTGCCTTCACACTCATGCTGCCTCAACCAGCACACACACACACCTCATACCTTCATCTTGACAGTAGAAAACAATGACACTACCTTTCTTTCCCCACCATCAAGGTAAAACAACCTCACACCAGTGTGCGCATGGTCACCACAGGTAGTGAACACCACACATAAACATTCCATAACTAACTTACTATCTACTTTTATTTAAGTACAGTTTTACTCAATTTTGGATAATTACAAGTATCTTATATCAGTAATATATAAATATAAATTTCCTAGAATAACTCAAAAAAAAGTCCAACAAAGTGACATATCTATGTAATAACCGCACTTATTATACTCACTCCCCACTACATATTGAAAAAATAAAACAAACAAATAAACTCTTTAAAATATATAAAATGTCTTTAACACTTAATAGATACATAATATATATAGTGAGTCTCCCACTACCTGTGCTGTTCATACAATGATAAGTTCCCTAATGTTTTTATTCTATAAATCACCTCAAATGACATATTAATTGCACTGATACTTTAATGAATTATTATTAAAAAAACTGTGATTTAATGTACTAGAAAGCGTAATTTAATATAAGAGTAATTACTGTAATAGTATTGTACATGTATTCCAGGCGCGCGCTTTTTAAATCACATTGTTGGTAAGTTTATTCAGGTATACACAAATACAGTTACAAAGATTATCATACATAGCAGCATATGTGTAGAGAACCTGGGATAACCCAAAAAGTCAGACAAAGTGACTTATTTTCATTAGTGTCCTTGGTTGTATTGTTGTAGCCTTGGGCCTATTATGTACTTTTGATCAGGTGTATATGTGTGTGAATGATTCATAACCTTTGTAACTTGTTCAAAACTTTGGGGTCCAGTCCCTGGACCCATTATGTACCTCTGTAATCTTTTTGATTACCGCGCACAGAATGGGTATGATGGGATGCATATAAAGATATTAAACTAAACTAACTGTTTAGTAGGTAAGTAAGTATAAATAAGCAAAACAAGTGTAAATAAGCAAACAACTACTTTTTGTGTTTACTACAAATGACACAGATCATGTATCTGAATAACTAGGAGGTCAGTTCCAGTTTTTTTTCCCCCATCTAGAGGAGTGCTCACCAGTGCTGAAAAAAGTTGGAGGGCTTTTGTGCAGGGGTTTGAATGAGTTTGCCTGAGCATATTGACACGATCACTGATACTTGGAATATTAATTTTTTCCGCATGTTTAGAATTTTGGTAGTACGAGGGTATCAACAATACTTGCACAAGTGATAAATATGGGGAATATATAATAGATAAATTCAAATCCAAATCCTTACAAAAACCTCTCACACTGATAAACATCTACAGACTTCCACAGTCAAATATTAGCCGTTTTAGTGAAAACCTAGGAAGTATTATAACTGTTACACGCATGAACACTTATTATTCACAGGAGACTTCAATATAAATCTCCTGCACGACCAAGACCCATGTGTAACTGAATTCACAAACACTATGAGTAACTGCTTGTTGTTACCAACAGTAACAAAACCTACAAGAATCTCTGACCACATCTGGACCAACACCATATCCCCTTTAAAATCAGGCATAGTCACAGATAACACCACAGACCACTACCCTACCTTTCTCATAACCAATCTAGGTAAATTACCCCAAGACAATACTAAAGTAACCTTCAGACTACATAATGAGACAGCCATTAATAAAGTCACAACGGCAATGACAAACATCGACCGGCAAACTGAGCTAGAAATCTATACAGATACCGACGAATGTATTAATAATTTTCTAAAAAAGACCCAATACCTCTATAACAAGCACTGCCCTAAGAAACTAAACAGTTTACAGCTAAGAGACTGAACAGTCCCTGGCTAACACCCAGCATCCTCAAATCCATAAATATAAAGCACCTATATGAAAAACAGAACAGAATGGGTCAAATAACCAGAGACCAAACAAAACGTTACTCGTCAATCCTAACCAGCCTGATAAGAAGGGCAAAAAAAATGTATTATGAAAACAGATTATCCAACTTAAAAGGTGATATAAAAAATACCTGGAAAACCCTATCTGAAATTCTAGGAACAAAAAAGATATCAGGAAACAGAACCATCAAACTAACAAAACCAGATAAACCCCAACTCCCATCGACTGAAACAGCACAGACTCAATGTTTTTCTTCTCCACCATAGGAAAAAACCTGGCGGATAAAATCCCAAGCTCAAATACCCCACCTAATGACTACCTCATTGGCACCTACTCGAACACATTATTCCTAGCTCCGACTAACCCAGCAATAGTCTCTCTTATTATCAACACACTGAAAAGCAAGACAGGAGGTTTAAATACCTTACCACCCTTCATATACAAAAAAGCTTCACAAGTACTTTCCTCAGTCATTGCAACACTCTTTAATAAATCCATCTAATCCTCTACCTTCCCCACAGTTCTCAAAATAGCAAGGGTCACCCCGATACATAAAGGAGGAGATCAAGCAGACTTGAATAACTATAGGCCAATATCTAACTTACCCCTTCTCTCTAAAATATTTGAAAAATTAACAGTACCTTTCAAGGCAGGTGAAATTGCTGACCTAGAAAATGTACAGAGAACCTTCACGGCGCGCATAACGGAGATAAAACACCTCAATTACTGGGAGCGCTTGAGGTTCCTGAACCTGTATTCCCTGGAACACAGGCGGGAGAGATACATGATTATATACACCTGGAAAATCCTAGAGGGACTAGTACCGAACTTGCACACGAAAATCATTCACAACGAAAGCAAAAGACTTGGCAGACGATGCACCATCCCCCCAATGAAAAGCAGGGGTGTCACTAGCACGTTAAGAGACCATACAATAAGTGTCAGGGGCCCGAGACTGTTCAACTGCCTCCCAGCATACATACCTGGAGTTTACCTGGAGAGAGTTCCGGGGGTCAACGCCCCCGCGGCCCGGTCTGTGACCAGGCCTCCTGGTGGATCAGAGCCTGATCAACCAGGCTGTTGCTGCTGGCTGCACGCAAACCAACGTACGAGCCACAGCCCGGCTGATCAGGAACTGACTTTAGGTGCTTGTCCAGTGCCAGCTTGAAGACTGCCAGGGGTCTGTTGGTAATCCCCCTTATGTGTGCTGGGAGGCAGTTTGAACAGTCTCGGGCCCCTGACACTTATTGTATGGTCTCTTAACGTGCTAGTGACACCCCTGCTTTTCATTGGGGGATGGTGCATCGTCTGCCAAGTCTTTTGCTTTCGTAGTGAGTGATTGTCGTGTGCAAGTTCGGTACTAGTCCCTCTAGGATTTTCCAGGTGTATATAATCATGTATCTCTCCCTCCTGCGTTCCAGGGAATACAGGTTTAGGAACCTCAAGCGCTCCCAGTAATTGAGGTGTTTTATCTCCATTATGCGCGCCGTGAAAGTTCTCTGTACATTTTCTAGGTCGGCAATTTCACCTGCCTTGAAAGGTGCTGTTAGTGTGCAGCAATATTACAGCCTTGATAGAACAAGTGACCTGAAGAGTGTCATCATGGGCTTGGCCTCCCTAGTTTTGAAGGTTCTCATTATCCATCCTGTCATTTTTTCTAGCAGATGCGATTGATACAATGTTATGGTCCTTGAAGGTGAGATCCTCCGACATGATCACTCCCAGGTCTTGACGTTGGTGTTTCGTTCTATTTTGTGGCCAGAATTTGTTTTGTACTCTGTTTGAATTTAATTTCCTCATGTTTACCAATCTGAGTAATTGAAATTTCTCATCGTTGAACTTCATATTGTTTTTCTGCAGCCCACTGAAAAATTTGGTTGATGTCCGCCTGGACCCTTTTGCAGTGTCGCAATGGATGACACTGTCATGCAGATTCGGGTGTCATCTGCAAAGGAAGAACACGGTGCTGTGGCTGACATCCTTGTCTATGTCGGATATGAGGATGAGGAACAAGATGGGAGCGAGTATTGTGCCTTGTGGAACAGAGCTTTTCACCGTAGCTGCCTCGGACTTGACTCTGTTGACGACTACTCTCTGTGTTCTGTTAGTGAGGAAATTATAGATCCATCGACCGACTTTTCCTGTTATTCCTTTAGCACACATTTTGTGCGCTATTACGCCATGGTCACACTTGTCGAAGGCTTTTGCAAAGTCTGTATATATTACATCTGCATTCTTTTTGTCTGTGATGGACTGAACACATCGACTCCAGGCTGAGGGACTGATTACCTCATACTCCTCCTCTCCTTACGCCTTCCTCTTTGCATTGGACTGATGAAGCCACTGTGTGGCGAAATCTTTTCCTGAATAAAGATTCCCATATGCTGCATAAGTGTCTCAATCTTCAACTTGTCGGTTTTTCAAACTATTCATCACAAGTCCATCTATCATCATTCTATCATGCATTATCCCCTCAAGGAAGGTTCCTTGATGTTGGTGAGGGGCTCTTGATTTAGGGAATTGGATCTGTGCTCCAGTTCCCCGAATTAAGCCTGAATGCCTTCCACATCCCCCCCCAGGCGCTGTATAATCCTCCGGGTTTAGCGCTTCCCCCTTGATTATAATAATAATAATATCATGCATTACGAGCCACATGTCTTTGGTGCATCCATCAAAATAAGCAGACTCTTGGATGTTACTACCGCCCAGCTCTGGCTGGGTTACAAGTATCTTTGGCAGGTTAAATCCCCACCACCAGATGTAGACCAAACGAAATGTAAACTTTGACAGATGGACTATTGTCACACCTTGAGTCATTAAGTACTGGAGTGCGATAAAATTAATGAATTTAGAGACAACTCACTCAGAAATGTTCAAAAAATGTCAAAGTATTTTATCCACAGTGGTATATTACGGACCATTCTGGAGAAATACCCTGACTTTGCTAGCTGTAAATAAAGCATTACCACGTGTGTGTACTCACCTAGTTGAGGTTGCAGGGGTCGAGTCCGAGCTCCTGGGCCCGCCTCTTCACTGGTCGCTTTATTATACCTCTGCTTAAAGCTATGTATGGATCCCGCCTCCACTACATCGCTTCCCAAACTATTCCACTTCCTGACTACTCTGTGGCTGAAGAAATACTTCCTAACAAACTGTGATTTATCTGTGTCTTAACTTCCAACTTGTCCCTTGTTTTTA